TTCGTAATAACCTTATTATTATACATCTTTTCCTACCAAGGATACATCATGGGAATGCCAAAATCTAAAAAGTTTAGAACAAAATCGGCGAACTTCTTTGTATGCCCGGACCGGTCAAACCCTGATACAAGGTACAAGATTTGAATCATAAACAATGTAAAATACATTTGCAGGCGCAGCAAGGGTTTTCAGTGATGTCATTAGCTTGATCTGAATCAGTGACAGAAATGGACCACAGTCTGGCTTTTGTCTGGTTTTATTAAAAATTAACACTGGAATCTTGAAAAAAGTGGTCAGAAATGTTGTTGTATGTTATATTTTTAAACTGTAATAATTGCATTCCATTATAATGAACCATCACTGAAATACTGGGTCACAAAGTTGAAGATCAGTGAAAACACTTTGCAGTTACTGTTTATAAATCTTGGCCAAGCACATTGACACATGTGATCTTTATATAGCTTCAGTTGTCAGGGCTAGCATGTATGTAAATGCGTCTCTATGTGGTAGTTGAGCGCAGTAACAGAGCGTCTCAGTTTTCATGAATATACGAGTTGAAAGTAAGCATGGAGCCAAACAATGGAATGCTTGAGTGCGCTCACTTTTAAAAGTAAGCGTGGGGACAAACCATGGAATGCTGGTGATGTAATGAAAGCTATGCTCAGTTTAACATTAAGTTGATACAAGTTCATTTCAGAGGTCTAACTTTAGTTAAAGAATCCAATCTGGTGCTAGTATCACATATTCACATGAGGGGGGTGTTTGTTAAAACAGACGCAACCATATTTAATTAAATATTTACGCAGTTTGAACCCTATGACCTTGTAAGATGGAATCGTCGTCATGCTCACTTAATAGTAAGTAATATTAGGTGTGGGACCAACAATGGAATGAAAAGTGCGCAAGTCTGATTTCAAGTAACTATAAGTCGCAGTGTATACATGAAGTTTTTGAGAGTACCCTTTTTGATTGACGCAAAATAAATGCCAGAATCGGCCACAATTATATTTAATAGTGATAGTCTTGAGTGTTTTCATTTGTCGGCGTCTGTAAACAACACTCAGTGACGACGAGTTGTTGCGCACACTTGAACGAATGCTGTTTTATTCATGAAATGTACATTCCCATTTTGCTCATATGTCCGGATCACCCTTCATAGATTTACAATACAGCAATGGTAGTGTGAAGTTGCATTTATGTCAATACGTTAGTAGTACGTGAATCATTAGGTGATCGTACAGTTACGAATCATTTGGCTTTGATTGGCTGACCCTCATGAAAATATAAATTCACATGAAAACTACACATTTAATCGAGACTACATTGGTGTCCATATACACATATGCTGCTTTTCTGTAATGTTAAAAATAGGTGTGAAAACAGTTGTATAATCATTGAGCTTTGTTATAGATGCAGACAAATAAAACACTCTGGACAAAACTAACCTCAGCGTTGCATCTAAATTACTATATTGTATTCGTTGGTCGACCCTGGCATTTAAAAACTCGTAACTCATAAAATAATTCTGGTTTCTTGAAGTGAGTCACGCATGTACTCCCCAATCTGTGTAATTCCATTGTTTTTCCCACGCCTAGGCTTTTACAAGTGAACAGGCGCTTTATTTCTACGACCTCGAGTTGGATGCCATGCATACAGTACTTTGCATATTGTGTACTGAGATTTTCGACATGGGTCAATGGAAGTTTTTAGTTATCAGTACAATACTAGATAAAGGGGAATCACTTTATGATGAGTTGTACCCACATAAAGTACATATTAATTCAACTGTTTGCAGATGTTCCATGTATTATTTTAACATATTTAAAAGAGTATTTTATAAATAAATGTCAGGGACTGTGACATTCATGTCTCGTTTATATTAATAAATATTTATACAATTCATATTACATTATTCTATGAAGGACATTGAGATTAATACAGTAAATGTAGTATTAAGTAAGGAGCTAGTTGGATATTATTTTTTCTCAAAATTTTGTTTATATGTTGCTGTACCATATTTATTAGGAACTTTTATACAATTTATGTTTACTGGGGTATGTTCTAGAATAAGAATAATACAGTGATTATTTGAATAACAAGAATATTGATTATATTTTATGTAATTATGATGACTATTTTTGGTCTGAATTATTCATACCTAAATTTTAGCCACTATTTTTTGCACAAAATGCTTAGATATATATTTATATTATTGAATTGCTTCAGGACTTTTATACTCGCTTTTACTGTGCAAAGAAAAAAAGATCATTCCTCAAGTATCCATGCATCCATCCATTTCTTTATTTAATCTAGATTTTCAATAAACAAGGTTGTAATATTTATCCTATGTTTTAAATCAGGTCCTCAAGATAGTCATACAGTATTGCTAACAGTGATAGAGGGTGCTGTTGATTTCCCTGATCCAGTGGTGAGTACATTTATCACTGTCGATGCTTCCATGGTGGGAAAGGGTCATTTTCATTTCACTACAAGTACATACTGTCACTTTAGAAATAATGTCAATTTAATTGTATTGCATAAACAGGTTTAATAACCAAATAGCACTCTACCTGGGTAAAAAAAACACTCTCCCAACTGGAAGCCAAACAAGTGGAGACTTGTAGCTTAACCAACCTTGACAGCTCAACTGATTTGACTCTAACCTGATGAACT